GGGATGTAGGTCAATAGTAAAGCACTTCTGGATTCAATCCTCAGCAGTGGAAAAGAAAAGGAAAACTGACAGTACGTTGTGTGGATTTTCTGTTTGTTTGAGATGGAGTCCCACTACGTTGGCCAGGCCAGTCTTGAACTTCTGAGGTCAGGCAAACCTCCTATATCAATGTGCTGAGTGCCGGAAGGCAGGTGTGCAACACTGGACTGGCTAGAAAAGAGATTGTAAACCACGTTTGGTGGCACATGACTAATTCCAGCAACTCAGGAAACTGAGGCAACATGATCACAAACTTTAGGCCAGCCTCAGCAATTTAGCAAGACTCAGTATCAAAATTAAAAGGCTGGGGATATAGCTTGGTGGTAAAATGTCCCTGGGTTCAACCCCCTGTACTGGGGGAATAAAAGGAAACTGGGAATATAGCTCAGTTGGCAGAGTGCTTGCCTTGCATGCACAGGTGCTGGGTTCAATTCCCAGCACCACCAAAAAGAAAACAAAAAGTAAATGTTCTCACTACAAGAAAAGTATAATGGGTATATTGATTTGCTTGAATCAACACAATGTATACATATGAACATCCAACTGTGCTAAATTTTGTCAATTTAGATTWTTTTTTTCTTTTGGCATTATGGGGGATGGAACTCACAGCCTGGCACATTCAAGACAAGAGCTGTACCACTGAGCACTCCTTAAGATACCCAGCCCTAAATTTCTTAAAAAACGGCCTCCTAAATGTTTCTTTTCATAGTTTTATAGAAATGATTCACACGCCACAAAAAAATCACCCTCTTAAAGAGTACAATTCAGTTAGAATATTTGCATGTACAACTATGTAACAAATCCCACTATTATGTATAACTATTGATCAAAATGGGGAAAGAAAGTATGATTCAAAGTCAGAACATCGCTAACACTACCTCATTCCAGAACACTTGCATTATCCCATTAGCAGTCACTTCCCATTCTCCCCTCTTCCCAGGTCCTTGCAACCATTACTTTACTGTATTTGCCCATTCTGGACATTTTCAAGTTTATGGAATATTATGAGGGCTTTRTCTTCTTTCACTTAACATGTCTTTACTTAATAACATATCTGTATCAAAACATGTATCAGTATGTCTTTTTATGGCAGACTAATATTCCATTATATAGATTTGGACATTTAGATTTCTGATTTGGGGCTAATATGAATAATGGTGTTATGAACTTTCATCCACAATTTTTTTGTGTGTCTGGGGGCTGTGGGTGAAGCTCAGTGGTAGATAGATTGTTCAGCATGCATGAGGTCTGCGTAAAATCCCCAGCACCAACAAAAACTTTGTGTGTCTAGGCGTGTAGCTCAGTGGTAGAGGGCTTGCCTAGCAGGAGAGAGGCCCTGGTTTCCATCCCCTGCAGCACATTAAAAAAAAAAAATAACAAAATGTTTTCTGTACTTGGTTCTATTTAAAATTTCAATCCACCCAGAATGTACTGTAGAACAGGATCTATTGCTTTTCTTCCAAACATAACTATTCTGGYTATTTCTCTTAATCCTTAATGTTCCATAATTCCACTGAACAAAATTTAGAGTGGTGTTTTAATCCTGATTGGCATGTACTGCACTTTCCTAATTTGGTTCCTTTTACAGTGCTGGGGATGAACCCCAGGGCCTTAGACATGGTAGGCAAATGCTTTACCACCGAACTATACCCTCAGCCCTAAATCTTTCAATCTGAAGACGCTTATTTTTCTCTTTAATTCTAAAACATTGACCTTGTTATTTTCTTCAGTTTCCCTCCCATCATYTCCTGATACATTCATGAGATAGAACTTTAAGCTCTTCTTTGAAGTGAAAGAAGACATCTTGCCAAGTAATCTGAGTATAGAACCTTCAATTGTCATATTCTACCACACATTTTTTTATAGTTGTCGTGTACAACTGTAACTCAGTATTCACATTTACTATAGCAAATAGTGATTAATGGTCATTAAAAGTGTTCAACTTGAGTGAGGTACGGTGGTACATACCCGTAATCCGAGTTACTCAAGAGGTTGAGGCAGGAGGACTCCAAGTTCAAGGCCAGTCTGGGAAAGACTGTCTCCAAAAAATAAAAAGGGCTAGGGAATGCAGCTCAGTGGTAGATGGCTTGCCTATCATGAACCATATCCTGGATTCAATCCCAGGAACACTGGGGGTGGGGGGAAGCACTCAGTTTTTCAAGGGASTTATTTTTCTTTTTATGCTCATTTCATCAATTTATGCAGTACCGAAAGAAATAATAAAACTGTAGTAAGTTTCTTATAAATACAACCAACTCAACTTAAAAAATGGCCTCCTAAATATATAAATCAACTGAAAGGAGTGTGACAGTTATGGTAGAGCCAGCATTTAGCATCCTATTGAACTCAATTATGGCCAATGCTACATAAGTCAGTTAAGGGAATATCTACTGTGCCTTCTGCCCTACACTCTTTCCTATTGCTCTAATAATACTGACTACTCAAGTTTACCACTTATATGTGTTACATTTCTCTCTCTTGTTGACTTTTTTCAGATTGATAAGATTGTGAGCTCACCTCTCCTTAGGTACTTGCTGAGGGTAAGGGACTGTGATGGGCCAGTAGCTGTTACTCTGCCCTGAATTACTTTCAGTGGGAGTGGTGATACTTTCCAGGTGTTACAGGGTTGGGGCAAATGTCCTATTTCCTTTCTTAGAATTTTGATTTGATAGCAGTTGTTGTCTTTGTGAAGATGTGGCACAGGTAGAGAGATTTTACAACTAATCAACCTTTTACTATCGGTCTCCTCTTTCATCTACTCCAGGAAATGACCACCTTTAGTATTTCACCATTTTCCCGCATTGAATTCCTTCTGCCCTTCAAGACTTCCCTTTATTTTCTGTCTTGGGGAAACTTCTGAGTTTCTCATTCACCAAAACTCTCCTCATTTTTGAGCATGAATATATTTTCATAATTTCTATGAAGTGGGTAGGAAGAATAGGTTTCATGTATTGAACTTCATCCTCTAAAACCTGGAACTCTTCTGTGTTTCTGACAAATATTCTTTACCAAGTGAAGGTAAGTGAAGGACATTTCCTTTGATCCTGGTTGTTGCTGGTACTGTCCTGGMGACTGAGCCCAGGRGGGCTTTACCACTGAGGTGCATCCCTCGCCATTTTAATTTTTTATTTTGAGACATGGTCTTGCTTAAGTTACTGAGGCTGGCCTCAAAATTGTGATCCTCCTGTCTTACCYTCCCAAACTGCTGGAATTACACGTGTATACCAGAGTGTCTAGATATTTCTAGTCTTATTAAAGGGTTTTAAAGACCTACTAAGATCTATGATTTTTCTCCTTTAGCCTACTAAAATAATAAGTTACAGTGTCACTAAATGGGTATGGTATTCTGTAAAACTTCCTACTTCCTCAGGTCATGCCATAGCTTTACTATATGCCATATCATATTTGGAAATGTTACATTTATAAAAGTTGATCAGTATTTGTGGGAAAAAGTTATTTTTTTCGGGTTAAAGTATTATGGTGCTGCTAACCTTTTACTAAGAAAAATAGGTTTCATGTATTTTTTTTTAATTTATTTTTTAGTTGCAGTTGGACACAATACTTTATTTATTTATTTTCATGTGGTGCTGAGGATCGAACCCAGGGCCTCACTGAGCCACAACACCAGCCCTTCATTTTTATTCTAGTACAGTATAAACACCAGAAATCATTTGTTTAAAGATTTACTGCCAGACACAGTGGCACAAGCCTGGGATCCCAGTAATTCAGGAGGCGGAGGCAGGAGAATTTTTCAGTTCAAGGCTAAACTCAGTAACTTGGCGAGACACTGTCTCAAAATAAAAAATAAAAAGAGCTGGGTATGTAGCTCAGTGGTAAAGCACTCGTGGATTGAATCCCCAATACCTAAATAAATAAATGATTAATTAACCCTCTACTTTTTAATCATAAAAACTTAACTCAATCAAACCATTTTTCTCCTTGCTCTTTTAATTTTACACAGATATCTTTCAATATCAAAATATAAATTGAGCTTTATAGTGGTGCTGGGAACTGAACTTAAAGGCACTCCCTCTACCACTTAGCTATACTCTTAGCCCTAAATATAATCTTAAAGGCTTGTATGATGCATATCATTTTCTGAATATGCCAAAATTTATGCTTCAATTAAAAACCTGTTGGGCTGGGATCGTGGCTCAGCGGTAGAGTGCTCACCTAGCATGGGYGGGACCCAGGTTCAATTCTCAGCACCACATAAAAATAAAGGCACTGTGTTGTGTCCATCTCCAAAAAGGATTCTCTCTCTCTCTCTTAAAAAACAAAAACAAAAATAAAACCTGTTGTTTTGGTTGTTTTTGGTTTTTAATTATAAGTTTATATAAGGGGATTACTAACATAATAAATGTAACACCCTTATATAAACATATTAGTACTCTTTTACATCTAAGATAAATTTATATGCTTGATGTAAACTTTGACAAGAGAAGACATGATGTGGGCTGGGGACTGGGGATACAGCTCAGTAGCTGAGCACCTCAGGTTCAATCCTTGTATCAGGGGGCTTAGAGGGGGAGTGAAACCAGTATATCCTGGTTTGTTGCTACACTCTTAAGAACCAGCATAGTGGCTGGTACACAGAATCTTCTTACATATTAAATAAACAAAACAGGAACATTCTAATAGAAAAACAGACACTGGAAAACCAGGCACAAACAAAAAAATATTCAACACATAAAAAGATGTCCAAGTTAAAAACACCAAATTAAAACTCACTGTTATAGAAGAAACAACTAGAAATTAAGTGTTCATTAAGCAGTCAAGGATTCATAAAATAATTTGTGGGACTCTACATAATACAGCAATATAAAAGGTCTCAAGAAAAACATCCAAGTGGTTAAAGGGAAAGCCATGTGTGGGAGGGAAAAACAGGACTCATTATAAGAAAAGTTAATGGACAGCAAGTGTGGGCCAGAGGTTGGGGAGAATAAAGGAAGAGTGCATACCAGAAAGGCAGACTGAAAGCTGTTCATCGTCCACTGGAGATGCTTTTGAGTTGTTCTTCCCCCCTCCCAGTTGATTTTCTAGTTTGAGTTCACTGCATGCCAGGGGAGCTTCCAGTGGACTTTTACAGTAAGGGTGGTCCAGCAACTTAGAACTAAGAATGTTCTGCTTGAAAGATCCATCCTCTTCCATCTGGTAGGAGTTCTCATTGTGAWCATTCTCTTCAGACACAGGCCCATCTACACTACTCACAGATTTATCTGCTCCCGTCACTGACAGCTTTACTCTGTCATCACTGACAGTGCTTGTCCGATTTTCCTGATCCAGAGTCATAATTTCTTTTTCAGTTTCTGAAGTGAACGTTTTACTAGAATGATGTTCTGACAAGGGCATGTCATGAATCAGCTCTGTACACTCCCACTTTGGAGACGAACAAGGTGATTGGTCCCAAGTGTATGTGGCACTGCCATTCTGTTGGTCAGGGAATGCTTCATCTAAATTAAGCTCCTTGTCTGGGAAAGGACTTCCTTTAGGGTGATCATCAGGCATATGGGAATTCTTTCCCTTCACTACAACATTGCTGTCCATATCTGGGAAGTATGGCTGATGCTGACAAGAAGGATCTTTAGGTTCTGGGGAAGGAAATGGGCTACAACTGCCACCCTCCGTATTATCTTTAAGGGTCTCTTGGTGGTCCCCAGTGACCTTTTGTACCCAGCTTCGCTGGGCTTTCCTTGGCTTGCAAACTTTGCTTTTCGTTCTGAAGTGCTGGGATCTGAGAATCCTATACTGAAATCTAATCATGGATAACTTCTCATACATCATCAGTGGAGACACTTTTATTCTTCGATGTTGGTTAAGTTGGAACTTTTTTGGAATCAGGGGTCCCCCACTCCTGTGGTGTTCTAGTTCTTGGCAGCAGCCATAACAAAAGCGCTTTCTCTTATGATTGCTCAAGGTGACCACAATCTTGCCACTCTCACCTGGACTTTGGCTTTCCCCAGTGAACTTCATGGGAAACTCAGAAGCCTGCGGCACTGTCCTAGGTCTATGACCATTGGTCTGACCTAATGCACTACTTGCTGGCAAGCCAGCGACTGCCTTTAAGAGACTCTTCTCTCCACAGTATTCATGGTCCGAGTTCTTTGCTGATGATAGTAACTTCTCTGCTTGGAGTTTCAGAAGACTMCTTGAGGAAGAAATGAAGTACTTAGCGTCCTTTCTTTTCACTTTAGAAGACAAAGTACTAGGATTCTGAGTAGCCACACTGGATTTAGTCTTAGCACAAAAAGATTCATCCTGAATCCATGATTTCTGGATTTGAAGAGCCTTCTTTCTACAATGAAAATGACTCAACTGTCTATTCCAAGTAAATGACCTTCCCAACTTAGCATTCAGAATGCATAAGTGTTGGTGAAAGTAGAATTTCTTAAAGCCTCCAAATCCAGTATTCCATTTCTCAGAAAAGGCTAAGTGGATTCCTTTCCTCCATAGTATTTTCCTCTGTTTTTTCATTTTTCTGATGCATAATGAGATGTGGATGTAGCTACAAAGAAGAAAATGTAAAGAAATGTTATGTATCCATCTAAAAGTAAGGTCATGAAGGCATTCACAGAAATGAAGACAAAAAAATTGAAAAAAGAGCATATATRTTTCAATTTAACGCAACTGAATAATGAAATCCTACCTGATTGGGCTGGGGTTGTAGTTTAGTGGTAGAGCACTTACTTAGCATGTGTGAGGCACTGAGTTCAATCCTCAACATCATATAAAAAAATGAATAAATAAATAAAAGAATGATATTGTGCTCATCTTCTTAAAAGAAAAAAGAAAAAGAAATCCTATCTGATCAAGGTTTTAATCACAGCGAAAAACTGGGGAAGAAAGAAGACATGAGCACTAACAAGACACCATTGGCCGTACACCTGTTTTGAATACAAATCAGTTTCAAAAATCATTTCTCAGGACAGAGTCACAGGACTGGGAGTCAGAATTTCTAAGTGTTGGCTCTGTTTCTCGTTAACTAAGTGACATTCAGCAAGTCATCCAAATTTTGTGTTCTTATTTATAAAATGAAAAACAGAGAAGGGAAAGGGAACCAAATACCACTTAAGACTAATTCCATGTTCTTTCTTATTTGTTTTTCTGTCATACTGGGGATTAACCCAGGGTCTCGCACAGGCCAGGTATGTGCTCCACCACTGAGCTACAGGCTCAGGTCCCATATCTACTTATTTAGAATTTGCCCATAGCAAAATGACTTGTTTCCTACAGCAAAAATTTAAAAGGGCAGGTACCTTTGCTCTGTAGAGTCATCTACAGGTAGATACTCCATCAATACATGATATCAGTATCTCAAGAGAGAGAACAGGCTGCTCCTTGCCAGTCAAAGACTCTCTGACTGTGCAGGAAAAGGATTCCATCAGGTGCTCTCACCCAGTTATTCTGGCTCTCAAGTGAATATAAAGAACAAGAACCAACACAAGCATACACACATAAACTTCAGAAACACGATGATAAGAGATGGGAGATGGGAATGAATGGAAATTAAAAGCAAACACAATTTACCCTCAAGTTAGTAATATCTAATATTACTGAAGGTTTTAGGCATCAGGCACTATAGGTGAGATCAAAGAAACCCTAGACTATGAATAGAAACCAATATTCTAATGACAGCTTTTTTTTTTTTTTTTTCAATAAGCTAACAACTTATTGAAAGTTTTCCCAGCCTGGAGGAGAGGATGGGAGCAGTCCAGRGTACTTCATTTCTGTGTATCAGTTTTCAATCAGAACAAAAGTAGAAGGATAAATATATGTATCTCAGTTCTTGTTCAAAAATCCCATTGAGATGACAGAAATTGCTCTTTTTTTCCCCTCCCCCCAAACTTAGGATTAAACCCAGAGCCTTATCCAGGACTTCATGGATGTGCTCTACCATAGAGCTACCACTGAGCTACATCCCCAGCATGGAAAYTGGATTTTTTTAAAAGGCAAAGCCCCTCAAGGACAAAGACAATAAAAGGGATAAGAACAATAAAAGTTTTGAAAGACCCAAGTAGATGAATGTGTAACAGCAGACCCAACAGGGCAAGAGCTGAAATCTAAGCCAATGGTAGGGAAGACCAAGAAGCAAGCTACAGTTCAGAAAAACTTAAAAATAGAAGCAAAAAATTTGATGAAAATCAGAAATATGGTGGAGGTGAAAAAGGAAGAACTGGTGAAAAATCTTAAAAAGTAGGCGGGAAGCTGGGTGTAGTGGCCCAAGCATGTTATGCCTGCTACTTAGGAGGCTAAGGCAGGAGGATCCCAAGTTTGAGGYAAACCTCAGAAGTTTAGCAAGACTCTGCCTCAAAATGTAAAAAGTAAAAAGGGCTGGGAATGTAACTCAGTGATAGAGTGTCCCTGGGTTCAGTACCCCCCCACACCAAAAAAAGCAATAGCACTTAAACCCTCAGATCTCTTTCCCCTACCTTTGCAAAAAACTAAAGCAGATTAAAACTAATAATAAAACAAAAACTATTTATAGATTAATCAAATTTTTAAAACTATCAGAAACAGAGGAAAAGGGGAATTCATGCTTAATGGGAACACAATCTCAATTTGGGAAGATGAAAAGRCCCCGGAGATGGATGGTGGTGGTGGCTGCAAAGTAACGTGAATGTACTTAATGCCACTAAACTGTCCACGAAAAAATGGTTAAAATGGTAAATTATGTATATTTTACCACAATAAAATAAAAGGCGACTTGGGTTGTAGCTCAATGGTAGTTGCCTTGCATGTGTGAGGCTCTGGGTTCACTCCCCATCACCATAAATGTACAAAAAATGTTATTTTTTAAAAAAGGAACAATGAAAAGCTATATAAAGTTTATCAGCCAAGTGCACTGGCACATGCCTATAAATCCAGCAACTCAGAAGACTGAGGCAGGAGGATCACAGCTTGAGGCCAGCCTCAGCAACTTAGTGAGGTCCTAAGCAATTCATCAAGACCCAGTCTTTTAAAAAAAAAAAAAAAAGAGCAGAAGGTATATCTCTGTGGTTCAATCCCCTTAAGAAAGAAAGCTTAACAGATAAAAGATAACTGATAAGCCAAAATAAAATATTTGCAATATACACCATGGATAATAATATGTATTCCTAATACATAAAGAGCTCTTAAATTGAGGAATAAAGGACAAAAAGCCTGTTGGCCTAGTAGAAAGATGAAAGAAAGACCTAACAAGACAATTCACAAATAAAATTTTCTAAATGACCCCTAAACATAAGAAAACATGTTCAATGTCACTATAAGGTTGGGCATGGTGGTACACACCTATAATTCCAGTGATTCCGGAATAGGAGGACTTCAAGTTCAAAGCCAGCCTCAGCAACTTGGTGATGCCCTAAGCAACTTGGCAAGACTCAATGTCTCAAAAAATGAAAAGATCTGGGGATGAGCTCAGTGGTTAAATGTAACTGTGTTCAATCCCCAGAACAAAATAAGAAAGGTAAAGAAGTTAATTCACTCATAAGAAAATTGGCAAAGGTCTGGCCATGAAACTGAGTGGTAGAATGCTTGCCTAGTATGAGTGAAGCCCCAGTTTCAATCCCAGGATGTAAAAAAAAAAAAAAAAAAAAAAGAGCGAGAGAGCGAGAGAGAGAAATATTTCACAGCTGGAGAAAAGACATTTTCTTTCTTTGCTGGTGGGAGTACAAACTGATACAATGTTTTTGGAGGAGAATTTGGTAATATTTAATAAAACTACAAAAGTATTTACCTTCATATGCAGCATCCCCAATTTAAGGAATTTACCCTGAAGACATACCTGCAACAATGAAAATACATATGTACAAGACTATTCACTGCAACATTGTTTCTAATAGCAAAATATTGAAAATAACCTACATGTACCTACATAGGAYAGTGCTTGAATAAACTATGGCTTATCCACACAATGCATGAAGCTATAAMAGAACACCCAGGTTTGGTGGCACAGGCTATGATTATAATCCCAGCAATTTGGGAGGCTGATGCAAGGAGGATGACAAATTCAAGCCCAGCCTGGGCAATTCAATGMGATCCTCTCTGAAAATAGATAAATTAAATTAAATTAAATTAAAAAGGGGGGGGGCTGGTAATGTAGTTCAGTGGTAGAGCACCCAGGGTTTCAATCCCCTGTATGGGGGTTGGGAGGATTCACTATATGAACTAACATGGAATGACTTCCAGAATATATTGTTAAGTGAGTAAAGYTAAGTTCAAATAAGTATCAATAATATGCCACTGTATGGAAGGTGGGCACCAGAAAAATGGAGGAATTGGGAATGAGTAGAAAAGATGAGAGGAAAGGTACTTCTCTGAATATATATTCCTTTTTGTAAAGTTCTGAATTTTTAGAACCATGTTAATGCTTCATATACTTAAACCTAACTGCATTTCAAATGAATAACACAACTATACTGAAAGTAAAGGAAAATAAACCATCTATCTATCTATATTTATTTTGGGGGTGGGATGGGGGAAACTATTTGGGATCAAACCCAGGGTCTCATGCATGATAGGTAAGCACTCTACCACTGAGCTACATTCCCAGTCCTAAAAACATCAATATTCTAAAACTGAATGAATAAGTACATATGTTGTGCAAAATTAGAACCAGAGATTTCACTGCTGTAGAAAGAAAAACTAATGATGATCAAAGAAAGTGAAAATGAACCTATGGTGCTACACTGAAATTGGAGGTATCAGAATGAATACATAGTGTTTAATATACATACAGATATAAAAGTGTACATAGTTTACACGTATGTGTGTGTGTTTTGAGTGTGTATGTATGAATATTTGAGAGTAAGCAATGGGGCATAGGAAACACAAGATAACCTGGAATATCATTGGAGTGCTGGAAAGGTACAAGCATTCAAAAATTAAGAATGACATGTCAAAAAGATACAGAAATCAACATGAAGAAACTCACAATGGCCAAGAAAACTTTGAGCAACCAAATGCATAATGACAGTGATGGGTTATAATCCAATAATAAAATAAGTATTCTTGAGTTTACAGTGATACAAGAAACTTGACTCAATAGACACTACATTACTCTTGTGGTATTCTYGTCAAACATGTGTAACCTGAATTTATTCATGAGAAACAATAGACACTGACTGGCCAAAACTCTTCAAAGGTGTCAATTAAAGTCAAAGAGAAACTATAGAGATTAAAAAACTAAGACTAAAGTTACATGGCAATGCAATATGTAATCCTAGATTCAGTCCTAATCTAGAAATGGAAATTGATGGGACAACAGACAAAATGTGAATAAGGCTTGTAGAGTAACAGTATTTTCTAAAGACAATTTCATAGTTTTGATCATGTGCTGGTTATATAATACTATATATATATATATATATATATATATATATATATATATAAATTTTTGGCACACATACATATATTTGAGGTACTAAGGATTGAAACCAGGGATGCTCTTTCACCAAGCTACATCCCCAGCCTCCCCACCCCCCCATTTTTTTTTTTTTGGCACTGCAAGGATTGAACCCATAGTCTTGTACATGCTGGGCAAGCTCTCTACCACTGATCTATATCCCTAGTCCCCTAGTCCTTTATATTTCTTATGCTGAGATAAGGTCTTGCTACATTACCTAGGCTGGCCTCAAACTTGAGATTCTCCTATTTCAGCATCCTAAATGGCTGGAATTACAGACATGTGCCAAAATGACCTGCTTTGCAACTGATTTTGAAAGTTTGAAGTTATTTCAAAGTCTGAAGTTTTTTTAAAAAGCAAATATTTAAAATTGAAGAAATCTCCCAGAAAGTACCAAAAGACAACAGAGTGAAAATAACACAGAAAGATGAGAAAATTAATAGACCATGCTAGTAGACGACATATCCAAATAAGGCTGAGTGTGGTAGTGCACGCCTGTAATCCCAGTGGCTCTGGAGGCTGAGGCAGGAAAACGCCAAGTTCAGAGCCAGGCCAGCAACTTAGTGAGATACTAAGCACTCAGGGAGACCCATTCTCTAAATAAAATTTTAAAAAAGGTAGGGGATTTGGATTAGAGGTTGAGCGTTCCTGGGTTCAATACCCAGTACCAAGAATAAAAGCAAAAAAATCCAAATAAGAGTTTCAGAAAAAGATTAAGAAAGTATAGAAGGAGCCAGCTGTTAAGATGCCTACCTATACTGCCAGTGACTCAGGAGACTCAGACAGGAGGACTGCAAGTCTGAGGTTAGCCTGTACAACTCAGCAAAGTTTTAAAAAACAATTTAGTGAGCTTCAGTCTCAAAAAAAAAAACAAAAACATAAAGAGGGTGAAGCTTAGAGGCAAAGCATCCCTAAGTTCAATCCCCACTACCAAAATAAATAAATAAATAAATAAATAAATTTAAAAATAAAAGGGGCAAGATTCTAGAAATTAACTCACAAAATAAAGTTTCCCATATTTAGTTTATAAATTTGTACACTGTTCCTTTATAAAGCACTGTACCTCACAACTATGCGTGGTATCTGCCACTCCGAATAATAACCCTTCTCCACTTCAGATAATTCATGTCTGCTAACCTTATTAATGTGTACTGGGAGAGGAAAAAAAGGTCAGATCTGGAAAATTTTTCTTAAAAAGTTCTTCATGTAACTCCTTATATACTTTGTCCCACTTCTACCTCCACTTAAACAGTATGTGAGGAAAGGGGATACAGAGCACTTACCTATACACAGAAGGCCCTGGGTTAGACTCCCAGAAGCACCAGGGTAGGGGTACACAAACTGGGTGTGGTGGCACATGCCTGTAGTTCAGCACTTGGGAGACGGGGGGATTATGGCTTGAGCCCAGGAGCTTGAGACCAGCCTGGGAAGCATAGTGAGACCCTATCTCAAAAATAAAATTAAATCAGTTCTTTATTAGTGCATAACACGGCTAATCCTGAAACTTAGAAGGCTTTCTGGCCGGGTGCAGTGGAGCATACCTGTAATACCAAGAGCTTAGGAGGCTGAGGCTGACAGCAACTTGGCAAGACACTGTCTCAAAATAAAAAATAAAATAGGACTGGGGATGTGGCTCAGTGGTTAAGCACCTCTGGATTCAATCCCTGATACCAAAAAAAAGAGGATTTCTGGCTGTCTCTGTTAGTTTAGGATTCAGCATTCTCAAGGCTACTAAAACATTACCACCAATTTTTTTTTTTYCCTGCTTTCCAGGTTCTATAACTTTGTTATCCATACTTCCTTTGTTCTTTGTCAATCTAGGGCGGATTGTTTCAATGGCATTTTCAGGCTGGTGCAGGAATTATACATATATGTCCCACCAATTCACCATCCTTAACATATCATATTGTAAAAAAGTCTTAGGCAATTAAGCAAGATGCTATGTCAAAGAATACAAAGGGATGCCAAGTGTGGTGGCACACACCTGAAATTCCAGCTCTCAAGAAGCTAAGGTAGTAGGATCACAAGCTGAGGCCAGGCTTAGCAACTTATTGAGACCCTCAGTAATTTAGCAAGACTCTGTCTCAAAATAAAAAATAAAAAGAGCTAAAGATATAGTTCAGTTACTAGAGTACCCCTGGGTTCAATTCCCAGTACAAGGGGAGGGGAGGAGGAATCAAGTTGCTAAATAATATGTATGAACCCATTTTTGTTAAAAAGGGAAATATTATGTGTGTTTGAATAGAGGTAAATGCCTAAAAGCTTAAGGCCACAGTTCCTCAAATGTAACCTAGGGTTTTGTAGTGATTTCACAAGGGTACCAGAGGATATTCTAAAGAAGAGGGGAAAATGAATAATAAATAAATAAATAAWCTGGAGAGAAAAAGCAATTCAGCATATGGCAAACACTCAGTAAACCACTAGTTCAAAATAGTTCAGTTTAAAAAGTAGATCATGATGGTGCATGCCTCTAAACCTAGTGACTCAGGAGGCTGGGGTAGGAAGAATGCAAGTTTGAGGCCAGCTTCAGCAATTTAGCGAGAACCTATGTCAAAGTAAAAAATAAGCCATGGGGGGGGTGGCTCACGCCTGTAATTCCAGTGGCTTGGGAGGCCTAGGCAGGAGGCTGACCGCAGGTTTGAAGCCAGCCTCAGCAACTTAGCAAGGCAGTAAGCAATGTGGAGACCTGTCTCAAAAAAATAAATAAATAAATAAAAGGGCTGGGCATGTGGCTCAGTGGTTAAGTGTCCTTGAGTTCAATCCCTGGCACAAAAATAACAATAAAGTAAAATAATTAAAAAAATAAAAACACCTGGAGATATGGCTTAGTGATAAAGCTACTGGGCTTCAATCCTCAGTATCATTATTAATACTACTTAAAGGGGGGGTGCGGGGGCTGGGGCTGAATGGTAGCATGCTCACCTAGCATGTGTGAGGCACTGGGTTCAATCCTCACCACCACATAAAAGATAAACAAATAAAGGTATTGTGTCCGTTCATAACTTATATATATATATATATATATATATATTTTTTTTTTTTTAAATAGAGTTGGGGATGTAGCTCAGCAGCTGAGTTGCCTAGGCATCCTTGAGGCACTGAGTTCCATCCCCACTAATGAAATAAATAAATCAATACTACAAATGCCCAGATAGCTCTTCAGACCTACTGAAGTAGGGCATAAGAATCTGAAGTTTTTATTTTTTTGGTGACTTGTCTATGCTGTTCAGGCTGGCCTCCAACTCCTGGGCTCAAACAATCCTCCCACATTAGCCTCCCAAGTAACTGTAAGAGTAGGTGAGACTCAAGTCTGACTTGATGCACTGAGTGCATCTCTTTCCCTTCTCCTCTAATACTTTTGTAATTTGGGTCCATTACACTACAGTGGTGAATATTCTGTCCACTAGAGAGAGAGGTAACTCCTCAAATTAACTTAGAATTGTAATATCCAGTCACTAAAGAATTCCAGTTCCTGAACAGACTCTCTCCACATTTTCAAGGAACATGAAATGTTGTAGAAGCAGAGTGAGGGGTCTTCAAAAATAGTTGCAGTGGATTCCTTCTAAAGGGGACAAGGTGTAAACAAAGGTCTTCCCAGCTTTTCTCCTGGTAACAGCCTACTGAGAAAAGCTATCTTGAGTAAAGAGCAAAATTGATTTAAGTCATCCTTTTCATATACCAATGTTTGATCAATAAACACAAAACATCTGAGTAGGAGAGGGTCTGGTTTTTTCCTGAGACTGCCTATGCAAAGTACAGATTGCAATTAGGTTCTGGCACCCTTCTCCAGACCAAACTTAGTTATTCTGGATAAAAGGAAAAATATAAACAAAACAAAACAAAAAACGCAATTAGAGACTTACCATTAGTACCATTAAGTGTCCTCTTCCCTTAGAACCTCTTTTCAAAGGAGTTTAACTGGACTCCCAAAACATTTCGTTTATTCTCCTAATTTATATAGTTTAAGAAACCCCAGTTTTAACACGCGAATTACAATTACTACCAAATGGCAGGGTAGGATTTCAACTCAGCTCTCCCGATTCCAAGTTCAAAACTCCCACAACCTCTACAGCATTTCTCCTCAGAGTGGCCACACAGTGGATYGAAGGTTGATACCGCCTTGCACAGATGGCATAGAAAAAACAAGTTCCCTCCACCTTAATGTCCAAGTGCCACGGCCTTCCTCTAGAAAAGGGTCCCAAGAGCATGGACCAAGAAACCAAGGCAGGGAGGAGGCAGAACTGTCCGAACAAATTAAAAACCCTTGACTTGCAAGCTGACAGGGGCTGGGGTTTCTAATAGCAGTCTTCCTCTCAAAGCCTTCCCTAGCTTCAGGAAGAGCGGCGGGGGATGCTAGCTTTCTCGCTGCCTGCGTCGCAGGGCTTGGGCTGGAAAGAAAGAAGGGGAAGCAGAGGTCCCTCGAGACGAGCTCCTTCCCCATCCCTAGAAGACCCAGTGCAAGGGAAGAAACTGCTGCCCTCAGCTTGAGGCGGGGCGGGGGTGAGGGGAGTTTGGCGCTTAAGGCCTCCGGGCTGGGGCGATGAGCTGGCGCGTAGCGGCTCAGTGAACGAACGGTCAGGGATCGATCCGTCATTCGGCCGAGGGCCGCCCGTGCTCCCGCTTACCTGCGTCTCTTGCTCCCAGCACCTGGCCCCCCCACGGCTCAGACGCTGTAGCACCCAAGACTGCGGCCTCGCCTTCGCCAGCCCAGAGGGAATCACCGCTCGGGAGGAGGTGCCCGGCCTGCTCCTCGCAGCCACGGGTGCTGAGCTTCTCCAGAGACGCTGCCGCGCCGCCGGCGCTCACTTAGCGCGTCACCTCCTCCCGTGCCCTTCCGCCTGCAGCCCCGCCCGCGCCTCGTGCAGGGGGCGGGGAAAGCGGGCGCTGGCGTGGGGGCGTGGCGCCGTGGCTCCTGCTTCTCAACAGCCTCCCACTCTAGTCCTTAAAGGCTCCTGGCGCCTCAAGGATATTTCTCTGCTTATCCCGCTTTGCCAAAAGCAAAAAGCCATGTTCCTGCTTTGGACTGCACTTCTTGAGGCCTGGCCTAGGCTTTTTCTCTCGGATTTGCGTGCTGATTTWACTTTTGGTATTGTAATTTGCCTCTTTATGTATACCCGACCCTGCCCGACCAAGAATGCTTCCCAAGGAGGACAGAGTCTTCTCATTGTAGCCTCAGTTCCAATGACTGGCCTACACAAACATAGGAAATCTGTGCAGTAAATCTGCTAGCCTCTTTCTTACAGAGAGGAAAGTGACGTCAGCCTTCCATGCTGAAGCATTATTCATTCAATAAAACTTTTCCTCCTGCTGGGGATTGAACCCAGAGCACCCACATACTAGGCAAGTTCTCTACCACTGAGCTATATTCTCTTATCTCCAGCCCATCGATATGCATATGAACTTATTCTAGTGTTTCTCTTGCAAGACCTCAATCTAACTGTAGGGAAAGAGAATAAATAATAATTCAATTGTTACTGGTTCAGTGGGCTTTTGTGCATCAGAAAAATCAGATAAAGGCAAAACTATAAGAGGAACAAAACTCTCCTGGGACTTCTGCTCTAGCAGAAGGAAGACATAGCACTGACCAAGAGAGTGTCAAGCTGGATTTTCGAAGAACATAGCTAGTTTTATTCCTATAAAAGTTTAATAGAAGTGGATGTCTCGATGGGCAAAGGTGYGACTTATACAGTGGAGGGGGAGAAATAAAGAATGTCCATGCACTTCTGCTCTTTTCAATGCTTTATTTACTCAAATTACTCCATACAGTTTCACTCTATAGGTTCTTAATCAAGAAAATGACAATCCTTAATGCTAGGCATGCAATAGACATAATCAATTCATAGCAAACAATTCTAGGTTAATTCTAAGCACTGCAAACACACTTATATGACAGGCTCATCATAGACATTCCCTCTGCATACTAAGCTCAAGTGCCAGATCTAAAGTCTCARGCCTTAGGCCTTAAGTCCAGCAGATGCACACTCACTCAGACCACAGTGATCAGGTCAGGAACTGATGGAGACTTCTCCTGGGGTGGAGCTGATGGCCAGCTGAGGAGAGGGTTGTAAGAAGAAGTGGGGTTCTCACCAGGGTCAAGATGTGGCTGTAGAGTTTGAGAATGGTGAGGATGCTGCAGAGGCTCAGTCAAATGATGAGAAGAGTTGGGATGTCAGTCCAGGTCCTCATSAAGCTCTCTGGCATGTGGGCATCAGTGCCAGCTGGATGAATGTCTGTTCATTTGTGCCATCATTTATGCTAAATTTTGGGGTTTCTGACTGTCCTTTCAGTTCCTATCAGCTGTTACCAGGTTTCTCAGGACATCTGGTCTCGTGGTTTTTGTCCGATTCTCTTGCCTTGCCTTTTGCCCTTATCAGGGTTGTGGAAAGTGACTTATTTTATCAGGCTATGCCTGATGATCATATTGGAGGGCTCCGTATGTGTGCCTGGTGGGGACAGCAATTTATTTAAAAATGGAGTTACTTAGGCTAAGGCCCTTTTTTGGTTAAGGCAGTCCACCCCCTTGATTCACAGTGTCCACACTCAGGGGGTGCCCAAAGTGGGCGCTGCTAATCAATACGGAGGCATTGCCTATTCCACCGGCAAAGGCCAGACTCCACATATGTCCAAAAGACACTTCTCACCATGGACTGTTATACTACTCCATAACTACCAATAGTGAGCATAGTCCAATTACATCTGTTTGAAACAGATGGTAGCAAAGTGGTAGCAATGTAACCAGGGATGGTAATTACAATGTAATCATAATTAGTTTGTACAATTGGGTTAAAACATTTATAAGTTTGTCTTGCATGTAGGTCTCAATGGACTGTTTCCTTTACCTTTTCCCAGTTGATCACAATCGTCACCACCAGTTTATCAAATGATCACATACAAATTGAGTCCAGATATTGGCTAAAATAAAAGAATGTAGTTGGTCCCTCTGGATTAACACACATAGGTGTTACAATAACTGTTTCTGACATTTTGTTTTCATAATAATACAAACTTCCATCTTCAAAGACAGAGCCTAGTCTCTCCTGAATCCACCTTGGTTCTATCGATTCTTTCAGATCAAAGTCCTCATGAAGCACTCTGAGGTCTGGGTCAATGTATTGCCATAGGTTCGCACATGCATATATTGTGGAATAAGGGAAATAATCCTGAAAGTTTTGAATTCTGATTTTATTTTTCCCAGTTTGTTCCAATATCATGTCTTTTTTAGAATTATACGTAAACTGTGGACATTGTRCTGGGTATGCTGATATTGGTTGGGTCCTGCTGTTAAGATCAATATTTCTGTCTGGGTATTATGCCCTGTAGTATTTATTCTGGAAAATATGCTTTATTCATAAAAAGTACATATTTGTAAGAGTTGCAATTTGGTTTCTTGTATCTAATGAGAAGGGTAGAGCCTGTCCTATTAGTTGGATCAAGGAGTAGTAGAATAGCAAAATGTGGTTAAGGTTATAAAAGGTAAATGACTCAACCTTAAACTTTTGTGGAACAATGTCAGTGGATGCAAACATATTATGTTCTAATAGTACTATATTATCTATATTTCCTATGTTCTACAAAGACTCTAAGTTAAAGTTGTGAAAATTAGAAATGAATAGGTGGGGTTATTTGATTTTTAAAGGCATCTCAAATATGTGGGAATTTATATGGGTATATCCACCCCCTCCCAGCATAAGCTTTGTGTGAAATCCAAGAGTCTAGCAACAAGCACATTTCTGATGTATATACCAGGAAACTACAATGTTGTATATGAATTATAATAACATGACCTTGCTTTACATTTCTAGTTATACAGTCCAGTAATTCCTGATAAACGGTCTTGCTTTCCATTGTTTCCAGCTCCTCTTATATCCTAAGTATTTTAGTTTCCTAGTGAATCTATTATGAACTATCTGCCATAGAAATTCAATTAAAGTATATCTATATGTCACTTCAAACCTAGTAGCACACAGCAAACTTCTAAACCTAAATTTAATGTTATTCACCAACAATTTTGCATAAATATTAAGGTTTGTTACAATCAATATAATTCAAAATGCTAGCATAAAGAGGAAGATGGAAGTTATTTTCAATTAATGCTATAAAATGATATTCCAAGTTCCACAGTTCATGTTTCAGTGTGTCCAGGTAAGTGTTGCCACAGACGAGTGAATTCAGTGTTCTCTTTGGTGGGTATGTCCAAGTGAGCTGTAAAGTGTAGGTAATATTTGTATATGTTATGTTCACTTCTTTATTATCAAACATGATCATAGAGTGTTCACACAGCCATCTAATATTCACTACATGTTTCTTAAGTTCTTCTCTGGTTTTAATTTCTTTATTCCACTTTGCACACATTCTAAATTTTTTAAGGTTATCATGAATATGAGTATAAGTGCATAGTGGAAAATTTCTTTTAGGTCTTGGAACCAGTTTGGAATGTGCCAGCACACAGTGTCAAACTTGAGGAGCCTATAGCATAAATCTGCTCAAGAATAGCATCTATTGACTACATTATGTTTATATACTAAAGAATCTGTTTCAAGTACATATACTATCTGTGAAACAATGTGGTTTGTATTATTGAGATGTGCTATATCCTGTGTTATTTGAGCATCCTGTCTTTGTAGTTGTTCTATATTATGTTCAATTTGGTTTTGAAGTCGCTTCATATGTTCCAATTGTATGTCTGGTTTATGCTCATCTTCATCAAATACCATGTTAGTTTGTAATGTGTGTTTCATCTGTATCTGTTGGTTTGAGAATGCTACTATATTTATATTTCTACCAGATTTAGTGTGTAATGTTAACTTCTATGTGTTGGATACCATATGGCATCCTGCTTCATGGGTTGTTTTACATTCACCAAAACATATATTGGTGTCAGGATACTCATAATAATTACAATAACATTCATTATTGGTGGTGCTCTCAGATATATTTTGTGTAGTTGCCCTTGTTTGTGTTGTTTGGTGTATATGTTTACATGGATAAGTTATGCTGAAGGTATAAGATGCACAGACTGCAAAGACATTATTTTCTAATTGTAAGATTAGATCTTGTATCTCATTAGATACAAGAAACCAAATTGCAACTCTTCCTGTGGGTCTATTATGGTGATCTTAGATGTATGTAGTTCATGATGGTTTATATTTCCTAAGAATAGGTAAGTTAATGTGCCAATTGGTATTACTGACTCTTCTGGTAACATTGTTCCATTTAAAATAATGCCTGATCTTAATGGCTTTATGAAAGTGTTCCCTATTTTTCTATATAATGTTTGTCCATGATATGCTGTGTATGTGTATGTAAACAAAATTTTTAGTAAGGATAACTTACAAAGTGTTTCAGTGCAGTATATATCTCTACTGGGGTGTACTATAATTTTATACAAGTTTGTATGTTCACCCTGTACTGTATTAAGTAAATGTTGTAAGTCTGCTCTGGATTGTTCTTGTAACAGTTTCAATTGTGTACATTCATATTGAACACATATGCTATTGTGTTCATCTTCATATCCATTTTCTGTATAAAAGCATCATAATATTATTTTTGGGCTTTTAATGTCTGAACTATAGTTTGCCTCTATAATTCAGCTTAATGTATAATTTCTGTGATTGTATATATTGATTTATAAATCATTTTAAGCCATGAATTCCTTTATCTCTAATGTGTTCTGGAGCTGTGATTCTAACATCCATATCTTCTATACGTTTTTCATTAACAATTTCTCCTAATGCTAGTCCAGCTATAGCTATCCATTCTAAAATCTCTCTTGTTCTCCTGAT